CACGCTTGTGTCCAGGGACTCACGGGAGTTGTCCATCGACTTAGAGGGGATGGCTGCCTCGGGCTGTTCATCAATGCGATGTGTGGCCCAGTTATCCAATGAGCGCAATATCTCCACAAGACACTCCAGACCCTGCTGCTTCAATCCGTACTCTGATGGAATGTGAGGCATCGGAGGCGGCGGAGTAGGGATAATATGGGCACTTGTCAACGAAGGGGGAAGAGTTCCTCGATGGTGCCATTCGGAACCAATATTTGACATTTTAGTGTGCTGCTCTTGGTACTGATGCTGCTGAGAAGATGTTGTAACAACTGGTACACTCGAGTACCGGGACAATTGCTCAATGATACTTAGAAGGTTAGTTATGTCGAAGAAGACCAAGAATTCAGTAACACATACTTTTGGAAGATGTTCTCCAACGCGGTTCTGTCACAGTCATAGTTGAGATAGATTTCAACCAGAGCCCGTGGATCACCACCTAGCCTCTCCAGAATCTCCATGAAGTACTGCTTTTGGAACGCAGGAGCCCCGCGCTTCTCGAGAATGGCCAGATAAATTTCTTTCAAGAACACCTCGAGTTCCTTTTTCATCATAACTCTCATGTCCTTCAGCATCAACCAGAAAATCTCACAGCAAACTTTGAAGACATGAGGCACGGCGCTCGAGCCATTGCGACTTAGACTTAGGCACAAATGAGGCCGTACAGCTAAAAGGAGATTCATTCCATCCACGCTGGATGAGCTATTCTTGATTGCTGCCAGAGGGGATATAAAGGTTGCGGTGTGGTTGTTGATGAGATAGTGAATCAAGTGCAGCGAAAGGAGCTTCGACCTCATGTTTTGGGATTTGACATCTTGCTGCTGCTCGTGGGTTAGAACTTTGTGGCTCAACTTGCAGAGTGCCCGGAAAACCAAAAAGGCATCCTTGACATAGATCTCGTCCACTTCATCCTCCGCCGAGCTATCATCATCTCTCTCCTCGGGGATCCCCGACATTGATCTCGTCGTTGACCGCCGTTTAGCGCGCGTGACTGTAGTCGGCGCGTTGTCGGTGACAGTGGTAACCTCCTTGGGCGACTCGAAACTCTGTAGGGTGAGCTTCTCGGTGGTAGGCTCTTTGGTCACGGGCTGATCAGCCACAGACACAGAAGCCGCCTCCGAGATTTGGCCCACGTCACTCGCCGATGCATCGAGGGCCGAGGATGGATTTTCCAGCTCTCGCACTCGGAGCTCTTTAAGATCCATACGTGTCCGCACTCGATCAAAGACTGTGCTGACCATTTGTGTGAGCGATCCCTGAGCGATCTGCTGGTTTTGACTGGATTTGGAGTAGATAAAGATGTTGTAAATTTGGCGGACGGCTTTCAGGAGACCAGCTCCATGCACGACGATCTTATCGTTCAGGACCGCTGCCAACAGCGATTTGATGATCTGCTGTTGGATTTCAACCGCCGTGGCTTCATTCTCAAAGCAGTCACAGATCGCATCGATAGCGCGCTCGATAAGGGGAGGTTGTTCGCGAGTGTCTTTGTTCTCTGTCTCGGCGGATGGGAACGCGAAATAGGAGTACGTGATCAGCTTTCCAATGCAATCCAATGCAGTTACCTGCAGAGGAATGCTGAGGGCTTTGCTTGCCAGATGCAGAGGGCGGAAGATCAGCTCTGGATCAATTGCTTGTCCATCGGGTTGTCTGATATTGGCCAGGGCGACCTGTGTGGCATCCTCCAGCTTTTTGTCCCTCCGGGCGTCCCGCGAGGCAGCAATATTGTCCAGAGCCGTCACAATGAAGACCGTCGAGCTGACCGGGGTGGATCGCTGCGTCATAAATGTAGCAGTTGTTGACCGTGAATCCGATCGCAGCCTGCTTTCTGTCGCATTGTTGTCTTCCCGGGGGGGTTCCTGGATCGTGGGCGGACCGTTTGTTTGGGGTTCTTCTTCGGTCTGTTCAGGCTCGTCCTTGAGGGGTACCTCTGGTTTTTTTTCTTCTTCCTGGTAGTCGGCTACTTCCTCGTCGCCTTCCTGATTTGATTCTTGTGATTCGGTCGGCTCGGGCACTGTTGGCTCGGAGTTTGTTACTGTAGGAGATATGTCGGGGGTCTCGACGGGTTTCTCAGGCATTTCAATGGGTTGCGTCGGCTCTGAGCCGGGGTCGGTGTCCGCCATGGTCAAGGAGACTCCGGGCGGAGTGATCTAATTAGATCAAAAACATTGAACGAGCAAACGTGGGGAAGCTCGAAACAATCGCAATGACATGTAAGGACGGGGGCTGCGTGTCTTCTCCGAATCGGGACTAATGCATGCTTACCTCAGCCCAGGATTGGCCGCCCTGGGATGTCAGGAGCCCCTGGACATTCTTGAGTTCTCACCGGCTTTTTTGCCAGGCAGAATATATCTTGTCTGGTTCTGTAAACCTGTATCATCTTACATACATATGTATTTTGTACCTTTTATGATAGTAAATTTTGGAATATTGCAAGTTAAAATAATCTCTTTATCATGAGAAATTGCCTTCAAGTGGGTACATATGTACCTCTTAGAACTAGCTTGTTTTCAAATAATTTCCAATGTCCTTTTTAGGTGTATACTTAAGGCGGTGAGCAAACCATTGGCTCCCAATTCACAATACCAGCCAGCTTGAGACTGTAAATTACAGCACGTGACTATATCGGAAGAGGCCGCTGCCGCTCCTCTCACCGGGAGCCACAGGTAGCTCAACAGAAAAGTTCGTGATTTAGAGGCATCTCCTTCCACCCCAACCTTATCCATTCTTGGCCCTTCACGTTTTCTCTGTGCCGGGCTCTTTTTATTCTTTCATCTCAGCGTTAAGGGTCTTTATTTCTTTTTTCTTATAATCGCAACAAGTCTCAGGCACCATGGTTGCGTCAGCTATCCGGATGCGCACCCCGAGCGCCATGTTCATGTCCAGAGGTGCCGCCGCTATGCGCCGGCCCCAGGTCTCCTCCAAGCTTCAGGAGGTGATTCAGTATGTTTCAATAATATCAATTGTGATTGCGAGTTGATACTAATGATATTTCCACTAGGAACCAAGTGCCTGCGCTCTCTGCCCTTTCCCGCTTCTATGCCTCCAAGTGTATGACAATTGATTCATCCCTTTGTCCCACACACCAATTCTAATATGTCTGCCCATAGCTTTCCCTCCCCACACACTCATCAGCATGCCGGCCCTTTCGCCGACAATGACCGCCGGAAACATCGGCGTGTGGCAGAAGAAGGCCGGAGATGTCCTCCAGCCCGGTGATGTTCTGGTAGAGATTGAAACCGACAAGGCACAGATGGACTTTGAGTTCCAGGACGAGGGTGTTCTGGCCAAGGTCCTGAAGGAGAGCGGCGATAAGGATATCGCTGTTGGCTCGGTAAGAAATTTCCCGGTTCCTCTCGGCGGGGATTGATCAATCTAACTTGCCTTATAGCCCATTGCCGTCCTTGTTGAGGAAGGTGCCGATGTCTCTGCCTTCGAGTCTTTCACCCTGGCCGATGCCGGTGGTGACAAGCCTTCCTCCACTGAGAAGAAGGAGGAGCCTAAGAGCGCTGAGCCCTCCACCCCGGCCCCAGCTGAGGAGGCCCCCGCCGCCCAAGAGCCCGAGACTTCGGACGAGAAGCTCCAGCCCAGTCTTGACCGTGAGCCCACCATCAGCCCCGCCGCTAAGGTCTTGGCCCTCGAGAAGGGTGTGTCCATCAAGGGCCTTAAGGGTACCGGTCGTGGTGGTGTCATCACCAAGGAGGACGTTGAGAAGGCCAAGCCCGCCGCTGCTGCCTCCGGCGAGGCTTCCTTCGAGGAGATCCCCGTCAGCTCGATGCGCAAGACCATTGCCAACCGTCTGAAGCAGTCCATGGCCGAGAACCCCCACTACTTCGTCTCCACCACTCTCTCGGTTACCAAGCTTCTGAAGCTCCGCCAGGCCCTGAACGCTTCCGCTGAGGGTCAGTACAAGCTTTCCGTCAACGACTTCTTGGTCAAGGCCTGCGCCGTTGCCCTTCTGAAGGTCCCCCAGGTGAACTCCAGCTGGCGCGAGGAGAACGGCCAGGCCGTTATCCGTCAGCACAACACCGCTGATATCAGCGTCGCTGTGTCTACCCCCTCCGGTCTGATCACCCCCGTCGTCAAGAACGTTCAGGGACTCGGACTCTCCAGCATCTCCAAGCAGATCAAGGACCTTGGCAAGCGTGCTCGCGAGAACAAGCTTAAGCCCGAGGAGTACCAGGGTGGTACCTTCACCATCTCCAACATGGGTATGAACGCTGCTGTCGAGCGCTTCACCGCTGTCATCAACCCCCCGCAGGCCGGTATCCTGGCTGTTGGCACCACCCGCAAGGTCGCTATCCCCGTCGAGACCGAGGAGGGCACCGTTACCGAGTGGGATGATCAGATCGTTGTGACTGGTAGCTTCGACCACAAGGTGGTTGATGGCGCCGTTGGTGGTGAATGGATCAAGGAGCTGAAGAAGGTCGTCGAGAACCCTCTGGAGCTTCTGCTGTAAATAGCGAAGCCCTCTCGTTCTGACTTATCTGTAATCTGTATTAAAACACCTTGCCTCCCCCATTAGACCATTACATAGGTCCCATTTGTTTTTGATCTCTTTAGCAGCTTTAAATCCTCTCAATGGAATTTTCTTCATTTTTACGTTATGAAGTTGGACTATAACGTAAGTGGCTAAGGAGCCCAGGGGTCCGAGGTCAAGTACATTTCCCATCTTTTGCAGTTTGAAAGTATTTATTCTAGCAGAATCTCCTAGAATATCATCTATCTATATCTACTATGTTGTAGTATAATATGAGGTCAACATGCTTACGGAAATTAAGTGTGGGCCCAGATCAATGCCAGGTCAATGATGTCATAATCCCCGGCTTCCTTGGTATAAATCCTTCCTTTTCCCCTCGAAACTTTCTTCACCACAAACGTTTCTGGTATTTATCCCTTCCTCTTTTTTCTTCTTCTGGGTATTAACACATTATCAAGAATCATTCCCTTCTAATAACAACATGTCTTACGCCGATGCAGCTGCCAAGGGCCCCAAGCAGTCCCCCGAGGATGTAAGTATTCAAGCTTCTATATCTAAATTGCAGCACTAACAATGAATAGGCGTGAGTTTTCTATAGTATCAACTATTCCCCTCACACAACTAACATAAACTCCAGTCGCGCTCCCCCTATGGGTGGAGTCTACCACGATGAATCCGAGAGCACGGCCTCGTTGATCGACGTTGATGGCCCCCATGTGCAGACTGTGGAGTCCGATTTCCTCGAGAACGATGTGAAAACCACCACTCAGGCGGAGCGGATAGAGCGCGAAGCCGATGAGGAGGAGAAGCGTGAGAATGAGGAGAAGAAGAAGAAGGCCAAGACCCACAAGGTGAAGAGCAGTGGCATCTGTGAAAACAGCTGCAACCCTGTCTTCATTGCCAACGCCGCTATCGCAACTGTGGTCGGTGCAGGCCTCGGCTTCGGCGCCTACAAGCAACACGCGCGGGGCAACCTCTCCTGGGAACTGGTCGGACTCTCTGCCGGTGCTGTTGGAATCTTTGGTGCCGTGGACTACTTGGTCAGCAAGTAAGTACTGCAGACATCTTTAGACTGAGTATGGTCATGCTAATCCATTGTCTAGGTGGTTCTTGCAGAACAAGTTCCCCCCCAAATAGATGTACGGCGTTTCATCTCTTATTTTTGGTGCCTAATTGCTTTGTGTCTTGATATACCATCCCACCTCTTCTGTGGTTTTGCATTATGTTCATTTGGCGAAAATGGAGTCGGATCGGATTGACTGTACCAGTACCTTAACGACGATATCATTTTCCTTGAAGTTCTAGCAATTGTAACACTCATGATAGATGAAGTCAAGTGTAGTCTGTCAGAAATTAGAAATTATGACCTATAGATACTTAAAACTTGAGATAACTTGCAGAATCTAAAAATATCCCAAGGGCTTGCAGATGTACTATCGCATGCAGTTTACAGTGTACCTGAAGGCGGTGAACTACGTCAGAATGGGCCCAAACAAGACCATCTGGCCTCCGGTTGGATCAGTTGATGTCCACCTTGGTGTTTGTGGAAATAAAGTCACTAGCTCAGGAGCTTCTTATCTCATCCTTATACTGCTATCAGTCCCAGTGCTCCATCTTCCACGACTAGCGGGTGTACAAGCAATCCAAGTGTCCAATCTATACCGTTCGCATTGACAACATGGTATATTGCAGTTCCCCGCGATGGGTTTACACAGCTGACATGAACAGAACTCGCTATTTAACTCTGCTTTAAAGCAATCGTCGTCCATCCGCCGTGATCTGGACACCTTCTCGCAGTCACCAACCACTTCCTCGCCCGCGTTGCAAGGTGCGCTCCTATCACCGACTGTTTGCAACCCAATATATTGACTTGAAGCTCCTAGGCCAGCTTGCAGCCTCCTTAGCATCACTTTCCCGCACCGTCGATGACTACTCGGCGCTTTCCAAGAAGGAACTGATTCCCGAGAAACAACAAAAGGCATTCGACCGCATCAAGAACTTCCGAAGTGAGCTCACAGACTACCGCACACAATTTGATCGACTCCGCAAAGAACGTGAGGATGCAGTATGTGCCCATCAATTCTTTCCCTGAGTACTTCCAATACTGACCCAGTACCAGCAATCGGTTGCCAACCACAATGAACTCTTAGGCCGTCGCCCACACCACGCCGCGACACCAGAGAATCCCTATGCGCAATCTTCACTCCCACAGAGCAAATCAGCCTTTGCACCCTCATCCTCAGGTCTTGGCTTTGGCGCTAGCCCAGCAGACTACAACCGCGAAACCACCGCGCTGCATGAGCAGTCCTTCTTCTCCAATACACACAACCAACTCGATGATTTCCTGGACCGAGGCAGGGCGGTTCTCGCTGACCTCGGGCAGCAGCGTGAAGTACTCAAGGGTACTCAGCGGCGACTATACAGCGTTGCGAACACGCTCGGTGTGAGCGGCGATACAATCCGGATGGTGGAGCGGCGGGCGCGTCAGGATAAATGGATTTTCTGGGGTGGAGTGGTGGTTTTCTTCTTGTTCTGCTGGGCAGTGCTGCACTTCTTGCGATAAGAGTATATCACTTTGTGTTGGTCTCCACCTGGGGTATATTTGGGAGCTGGCGAGGGTTCTCTGGGTTTACCTGGGTAGGCCGTTGTCTTGTATCTTGTATTTGGTTCATCAGCGTCGGCGTTTGGTCTTTGCAATTGATGTTCTTATTGCCAATCAAGTGTCTATGTTTATTTGGGGGTGTCTGGTATTTGTAAATGTATATATATATATATATATGTGTGTGTGGTTCATCAGCTATTATTTTCTGAAATACAGCACGGTTCTAAGATTTAGTGAGGGAGCCATTGTTAATCACAAGCTACTGACTACCTAAATATACAATGTAGGCATTGGGTGAAATTGGAACTTTCGGCGTATGTTCAACAAGAATACGAGGATGTTCGTATACTACCTAGTCACACCTTCAATTATATATAAGCCGGTCCCTTCTCCAAGGCATTGAGGTTCCGGTCAAGACTTCCTGGATATCTTTCAAGTACTAAAGCAATTTGTAATTATTTAGTACTTTTGGCACATGAATATAATTACCTAGCTGGGTAAGATGTTGCGATGGCACATGTAGAAGTACATCCGAGAATAGTAGTATTGAGATATTATTCAGATCTTGACCCTAGTTAGAAAGACATTGTTATTCCATCTACTTTCGTAATTAATGTAATCAAAGAGAAAACTAGATCATTCCCTCCGAGAAAGATACATAGCAACCTCAGCCGAGCACCGGCAGCTCGGGAGCACGGAAACTGTTGTGGAGCCAGGCCAATCTCTTTCACCGAATCTCTCCTTCTCCTTCTTCTTCCCTTTCCAACCACACCATCAATCATGTTTGCCGCTCGTCGTACTGTCAACCTCTTCCAGAAGCGTGCCTTCTCGGCCTCCGCTATCAATGTGCGTGACAGATATCTCTCTATCGTCAATTAAGCTAACTCCCCCCAGGCCTCCAAGGTCGCCGTTCTCGGTGCTGCCGGTGGTATTGGCCAGCCTCTCTCGCTGCTGCTGAAGCTCAACCCCCGTGTTTCTGAGCTCGCTCTCTACGATATCCGCGGTGGACCCGGTATGATGATAGTTTCGACTGTAACACAATTCAATTACTGACTTAATTTAGGTGTCGCTGCTGATTTGAGCCACATCAACACCAACAGCACCGTTACTGGTTACACCCCCGATGCTTCCGGTCTCCGTGACTGCCTTACTGGCGCCGAGATCATCCTCATCCCCGCCGGTGTTCCCCGCAAGCCCGGTATGACCCGTGATGACCTCTTCAACACCAATGCCTCCATCGTCCGCGACCTTGCTAAGGCCGCCGCTGAGGCTGCCCCCAAGGCCCACGTCCTGGTCATTGCCAACCCCGTAAGTCGCAATAATCATCTATAATGATCTCACAAATTAAAGATACCCTACTAACCGTCCATCAAAAGGTCAACTCCACCGTCCCCATCGTCGCCGAGGTCTACAAGGCCCGCAACGTCTACGACCCCAAGCGTCTCTTCGGTGTCACCACCCTTGACGTCGTCCGTGCCTCGCGCTTCATCTCGCAGGTCCAGAGCACCGACCCCTCCGGCGAGGCTGTCCCCGTCGTTGGTGGCCACTCCGGTGTGACCATCGTCCCCCTGCTTTCGCAGTCCAACCACTCCTCCATCGCCGGCGAGGCCCGCGATGCCCTTGTCAACCGTATCCAGTTCGGTGGTGACGAGGTTGTCAAGGCTAAGGACGGTGCCGGTTCCGCCACCCTCTCCATGGCCATGGCCGGTGCCCGCTTCGCTGAGTCTCTTCTCCGCGCCGCCCAGGGCGAGAAGGGTGTCATCGAGCCCACCTTCGTCGACTCCCCTCTCTACAAGGACCAGGGTATCGACTTCTTCGCTTCCCGCGTCGAGCTCGGCCCCAGCGGTGTTGAGAAGATCAACTCCGTTGGCGAGATCAACGAGTACGAGCAGGGTCTCCTCGATGCCTGCCTGGCTGACCTGAAGAAGAACATCCAGAAGGGTGTTGACTTCGTCAAGGCCAACCCTTGAAAAGTTCCATGTACAACCATCCATATCTCGTCGTGACTTTTGTTTCTGTAATAATGAAAGTGTATGACAATGTTCTTTACTAGATCGATGATCCATCCTAATCCATAAATCGGTCTACACTATGATCTTCACTTGTAACTTGATCATATTCAACTCGTATCATGTATTGAAACTACCCAAGCTCATTCGCTCCATGTCCGCAATGCAAAAAGACGCAACATAATACTTTGTACCTAAGATAAACCGAAAACAGCAAGCAAACACGAAAAGTAACATGAAAGGAAAAGCAAATAGCGAGCTCAATACCAGATCTGCACCAACCTTCATACCAAGCACCGAGATGATCGGAAATTATCAATAAATCAAGTATAGCTTCGCATGGCGTCCAGATATCCTGTTCCACCACGCAGGTCTTGATCGAACGTCTCGGCCACCTCTAGCACGCGTTTGATATGCTCCATGGAGAGAGGCGCGCTCTCGTTGACAGCCAGGGCTTGTGCGGTGCGGACGGAGTTTTTGATCTGATGGTGGGTTAGTCATGAGGCCAGAAGGGGAGTGTAGAGATAGTAAACATACCTGCCGTCCATTTAGCGTGTGCCTGGAAAGCATATCGTAATCCTCCTCGGAGAAAGATGCAATATGCACACCCTCAATAGCGCGCACGCGCTCTAAGAACATCTTCCAAATACTCCTCTTCGCCTTGGAAGTAAGATCACCATAGCGCAAAGCGACATGGATACGCGACTGGAAGGCATCGTCAAAGGTCTCAACACGGTTGGTAGTCAGGAACAGAATACCCTGGAAGTACTCCAACAGACGGAGGAAGATGCTGACAAGGGCATTGCGGTGGATATCGTGGATAGTGCGCTTCTCCAGGAAGACATCTGCCTCGTCGAGGAGGAGCACCGCGCCCCAGGAGTGGGCGATATCCAGAATCTTGTTCAGTTCGGCCTCAAGAGTCCGCGAGTCAGTACCCAGTTCACCGGCGCTGACCATATATAACGGGCGACGGAGTAACTCGGCAATACCCTCTGCTGTCAGGGTCTTACCCGTTCCGGGCGGACCATGCAGCACGGCAACGAGACCCTTACCCTTGCCCTGGATGACATCGTCGATGTTCTGCGCGGCGTGGAAGGTATGCGACTCGACGAGGGCCTTGACAATGGACTTTTGGTTCGCCGGGAGAACAAGCGAGCCAAAGGCTTCCTTATCCCACTCGATATCACTGATACCGGAGATAGTGAACTCGAGCCAGAGCTTCTCACTGAAAGCAAAGCCCAGAACGACAGGAGAAGCAACAAGCAGCTCCTCCTCGGTGAACTCACGCTCCTTGGTATCAGCAGCGGCACCTTCAATCCGATCCATCTTCTCCTTCTGAATCTCAGCGCCGTTCTCGTCGACTTCAACCTCCACGACGCGCGTGCATCCATCCGTATCCTCAACGACCTTGTACATCGTCCGTGGGGTATCAGAGGAGCCGCCATGATCAGAGTCCGAGTCTGATCCACCACAGCAGCAGCCATCGCTATCGTTACCCTCATCACCGCTGATCCCAAGATCTTCGGGATCGATGAGATCCGGGTCCTTGGGACGGACAGTGGAGATGGGATAGTTAGGGTTGATGCGACGGTGGATAGCCGGGTCGATCATGACGCGACCATTGATATTGACCTTGATGATGAGAGAGCGCTTTTTCTTGTAGAAGGCCATACCTTTGTGGAAGCGGTAGTTCATACCACGGAGGGCGACGAAGCGTTTGCCTCGTTCGATGAGACGGGCACGCAGAGCCTCGGCATCGCGGTGGTACTTCAGCGGGTAGCAGGCGAGACTGGTGATCTTGCGAGCGCCCTTGAAGGAGTCGACTTCAGCGGACATAGTGCCGAAGCCGTAGTCCTTGCCGTCGTACTCCAGGTAGCGACCATCAACACTGTACCACTGACCCTTCATGAAGGAGGACTCTTTGACGGCGTACTCGATTTTGAAAGCACGTGGTTCATCTGAGCTGCCGTAGGTTGGAGTGTAAGCGATGGTGTTGGGCTTGTACAGGGCCCACAACAGATCAAAGGTGATAGTGTTGGCCTCAAGCAGCGGGTAGAGAGTTTTCTTGATGTCTGCGTAGTCGGTATCAAGGTATTTGACGAGAACCTTCAGATGGGAAGCTTTGGTGGCAGCAATCTTGCGGGCCTTTTTCTTCTTCTCGCTGCGTGATTGCTTCTTCAGTTCCTTCATGTACTGCCTTGTTTCCTCCAGATACAGGAACAGCATGTTGGGATCGACGACGGCGGGTTCCTGGACGAGACTGACACCCTTGACGCCATCCATGATCTTGGAGAGAGCATCGCGGAGGGGTTTGCTCTTGATATCGACGACAGTCTCGAGGTACTTGTTCTCCCAGTTGAACTTGCGGCGGATGTTGAAGATGTACTGGTCCCATTCGTCGGCATCAGGGTCATCCACGGTTTCAGTGAGCTTGTACTTGTGGATGGTGGTATCCCATACTGCAACAAGTTAGCAAGGAAAACTCCAAACATGCGATTTGCGAAGAGAAACTTACATTGATCTACACGCTTATAGGCGACCTTGGAAGCGGGCTTCTTCTTCTTCGACCGCTTCTCGCGGCGAGTTTCGCCCACAGGATCACTCGCGGCCGAATCATCAGCAGCCAGTTCACGCAGCTTCTTAGCTCGTTTTTTGCTAAGCTTGAGCTTGGTGACTAATTTCCGCAAGGCCTTGTCATCTATCTCGTCCTCGGAGTCCGTAGAAGGCTCCGAATCTGACTCAGAGGAAGTATCGGATTCCGAATCGGACGACTCGGCCTTGCGCGACCGTTGCTTCTTCTTCTTGCGACGTTTCTTATCCTTGAGCGCACGTCTCGCACGCGCCTTTCGTAGCCGATGTCGCTTGCGCCTCTCGGTATCGGATTCGCTGTCTGTGGAATCGGATTCTTCCTCAGAGTCGGCATCGCTGTCGGATTCTGAAGAAGAAGACTCAGAGGAGCTATCACTTTCATCCTTTTTCTTATTCTTCTTTTTGTGTTTTTTGCACGATTTGGGGGCAGGGGTAGGGGTAGTATCTGGTGCGGGGGCAGCGTCCTTGACTTCTTTGACTTCTGTAGGTTGGGCAGAGCCGTTCAGATTCTCTGGAGCAACTTCATCTTTAGCCTCAGCTGGAGTAGAAGTGGGATCCATGGCTCAGTGTAAGCTGTGAGCTGTAAGCTGCAGGATGCGGCTGAAGACGTAAGCCGGGGATGAGGGGGAAGAGAATTGGAGAAGGTTGGAGAGTTGGAGATTTCACAGGGAATAGAACAGATTAAATAGTAAAAATAAAGAAAGGAGAAAAGGAGAAGATAAAATGCAAAGAAGAAAGAGAATGGCACTGTGGGTGAGACGCATTTTATGTGAAAGGAGACGCATCACGATGCGCAGGCTACGCAGGCTGCAGCCCTGAAGCCAATCAGTCGACCCCACGAATCTATGTGCTGGTCAAATATTATTGTAAATATACGGTGTACTTATTATTAAACTGCCCAGTCTTGGGGCCTAAATGTCTTGTATCTTGTAGCCCTAAGTTCTAACCAATCCGCTGTTCATATTAAGCGCCAAGGTTGAACAGATACATTAATCTTCTTTGAAAGTAGAACAGTTCTAGTATGGAACAGTTGGTCTGATAATGTTCTACTCTTCTATTCAATGAATATCCCTGTATCACCTCACAGTATAAAGAAGATGTCTTAGCATGGAATGAAACTGATCTTCAATGTTCAAATCAGAGTCAAGGTCTATATCAAGTTAAATGTAGTATAGTAATGGTCTGACTATCCTAATACGGGTTGAGGCCAAATATAGAGGCCAAGAATGGTCTAATATAAAGGTCACTAGACTTGAGAGGCATCAAAGAACTTTACCCATACTATATATGACTTGTTCATACATCTATACGTTTCTCCAACGTGTGAGGTGAATATGGAGATCTCAACTCTAAGATATATAGAGAGCTATGGGAGCTGTACACTGTAAAGGTAGTAGAGATACCGTAAGGATGATGTAGAAAGTATAGAAGTACATTTGTTTAGGAGCGTCGAAGGAAAATGGGCATGCCCTTTCTTAGGGCTAGAAGATTCACGAATAAGCGCCATGAAGTTGAGATTACATCGTCAATTAAGTGTATTATCTCGCTAGATCTATACTATAAAAAAGAAGTAAACAATAACAATCTAGCCTCGTCGCCTCCCACAATGGATCACACCACTAGGGACCTTTTCCCTGCCTTGGTCATTCAATTGTCAAGAGAACAAAGTGGCACACCCTCAATTCAGGAATCGAATGAGTCCTTGGAGGCACGTGAGGCACGTGAATATGAGAGCCCTATACCCGCTGGGGTTGTTCACCCAGTCGCGTCTGTACATGTGAGTGCTGATTTGATTGTTTTTGTTTGACTATATTTCTTATACCTTTCCTTAGTTAACTGACGGAGATAACGGACCTGCTTCGCCTGTGCCCAATCAGCAGATCCCATCTGGTTCGGAGTACGAGGCTTCGAGTTCTCCTCCTTCTCCAAAGTCACCCCGGCCGATCATCCGTTCTCATCGCATTACTGATCAGGCTCCAAGCACGCCTGTTAGACCAACTCGAGTTCGATATTTCCTTGGAGAGAATTCTCAGAAGTCCCTACCTGCGGCGAGTCCCACTGGCCCTTCTGGGAATACTGCTTCTTCTGTCACAACTCGCAATCGCCAGAATACTGATACAGATTCCGCAAATGCAAAGGGACGTCCAAAGAACGTGACTCCAATTACCACTCCTGGGCTCAAAATCGTTGTCAAGAAACCTTACGACGCCACCCTGGACTCCAGAACCGATTCGAAGTCTGCAAATACAAAGGGACGCCCAAAGGACGTGAATCCCGTTACCAACACTACCACTCCTAGGCTAAAACTTGTTCTCAAGAGACCTCGGAAGGCCACCCCAGACTCGAGGACAGCTTCAGATTTTACGAATGCAAACAACCCCCCCAACAACGCGACTCCAAATGCCCCTCGTAGAATAAGATTGGTTATCAACAAGAAACCTCGTCAGTCCATCATGGGCTCCAATCCCCCTACTGTTCCACTTGACCCCGTCAGCAACGAGTATCCTTCGTCCTCCGCCAACCCCGGAGATCAGCCATCCAACATCGACTCTGATCAGCTGAAACCTACTGCAAATACATCTGTTGAGTCTTCTTTCGTCCCTGGGTCCCATATGGATCCTCCTAAGTCTAGTACTTTTAGCACATCTCATAGGTCTTCCTCTGAACACGACGAGGCATCCTCTAGTATCAACCCTACTTCAGAGCTCCCCACCACCAGCGCATCTCCCAGGTCTCGTTCAAGCTCTGGCGAAGCTCCGTTTGGCTACAGTGGTTACCGGTCTCCTCTTCGGGATTACGTCTTTTCTACTCCCCCAGACCCTTCAACGGATCCTCCAAGGGATCCCGAACCGGATCCTTCAATGGATCACTCAACGGCCCCTAATATGGACCCTTATCAGCCATATCATCCAGCGGTAATGTCAGGTATTACCCCGTTTGAAGACCCAAATGTCCTCCCATCCACATTCATGTACCCCGACGAGACCCCCAACAACAACTGGACCACCGACCCCATGGGTGTCTACACCCCCGAGGAGTTTGAACGCATCATAGCGTCTGAGCAGGAGGTCCTGCGTGAAATGTCCGATCCCCATGCCGATCCACCGCATGTGTATGCCTGGGAAGAACAGCAACGTATGAGATCTCTTGCTCCGGATGTTCTCGCTGCTGAGATGAAAGCTGCCATTGATGAGATAGAAGCTGCAAATGCTGGAGATGAGAGCCTACAGCCTGGATATTGGAATTCTATCGGTCCCCCACAGCCTTATCCCACTGAACCTGATGCACCTGAGTCTTCTCTCACTCAGCACCCTCCAGCTCGACTTGAGTCTGATGAACCCGCTCGTACTGAATCCTCTTCTGCTCAAGATATCTCTCCTGACCCCAGGGAAATGTCCGAGGTCCCAAGTCAGACCTTGCAGTCAGTGGAGGAAACATACCAAGCCTCAGCGGTGAAGCATGCCCGACACAGTTCACCCAAGACGAAGAGCTCGATCCCAGACCTATCAACCACGGCTTCAGCAAGAACTTCAATCTCGGTCCAGCGCCGCAGCACCTCATCCACGGTCAAGACCACGAGCCCTCCGTCTACGTCAACCTCAACACGCCGCCGTTCTAAGAACCAGCCTGTGACGCCTGCTCCTGCCTCGACATCACCCCGTCGTAGTTCCAGAATCAACAAGGCCGAGCTAGCTACTCCAGAGGCTCCAATCACCGTCTCCCCACGCCGCCTGCGCAGCTCCGACGTCAATCCCAGCTCCAGCACAAAGAAGTTCGGCAAGGGCAACGCAACCCCAGACTCATGGGAGACAGCACCTATCGCAGACAAGATGTTGTCCCAGATGAAGGAGACGACAACGATGTCGTGGGTGAGGATCACTACAGCATGGAACGATAACCGAGCAGCCGAGGACGACCTCATGACATGGCGAGCACTGAGTAAGCGATGGGCACGGATTAAAGAAAAGATTGGTGTTTGGCCCGGGTTCGACGTATGTATTCACTCTACCCTTTGATGACCTCAATCCCGGATACCTATTGGGGATAGAGAGTTGTTTTCCTGATCCAATTACTGACTTTCGAACAGCACGTTCTTCTGGATAACTTGCGTGAGTTCGATTCAGAACTGGACAACGATGGCTTTGTGCAGGTTGCCGAGTTTGTTTCGGCTGAGCTTGGCTGGGAGATTCCCGCCGAGGTTTGCCAGGGTCGATACGAATTCCTCAAGAGCTCTGGCAAGCTCAATTTGAAGGGCAAGGGCAAGGCTCGAAAGTAAGCCGCTTGCTCTTGGGTATTTGAGATGTACGGCGAGGTGAGACGTCATTCTTCTGGTGAATATGGATATGGACATCTACGATTTCTCCCAGTGGCTAGTTGGCCGGTCACTGGGTGCCATGTATGACGATTAACCGTCGGATTTACTGTTGGATTTGACTTCACATTTAAGTCAAAGGACAAAAAAATGGGAAAAGGACAAAATCGGCCAAAAAAAAAGTTACCTTTATCTAGCAAATCCAAAAAAAAATTTGTAAGATTCATACAACTTCCTACAAAGTAGAATAGTATAGATATAAAATTGGTTGACAATGCCCGAGAAAGGATAACAATTCCTTTAAAAACTAGAAACGCCCCTTTATTGCCAAAGTACCCAGCCGGCCATCATACAATCATAACGAGTAGGAAAAAAACACAAAGTTAGAGAACACTCAGTTCTCGTCGACCACCACTACGCATACTCAGGCCAGGTCCCGGAATATTGGAACTCCATTCCGACGAGGACGAGTCACCCCGGCCCCGGGATCCACCTGTACTAGTACTAGCACCGATACTGATGCCAGCCGTGGTCAGGGAATCCATATCATCGATAACAGGAGGACCGCCCACCATCACAGGCCGGATCTTGGCGCCGACGAAACCACGACGATCACGGCCGGTGCGGCCACGACCGAGCCAGTTGTGTTTGAGAGCTTTGCTAAGAACATCCATCCGCTCCTGGGCAGGATCGTCGGTTTGCACGCTGGCCAGGACGCTGATGCATTGCAACATGCGGCCGACGGTCTCTGTGATTATATGAGAGGAGTCGGTGGATGTGCCGCGGTGGATGATGGTGGGTCGATTGTTGGAGATTGAAGGAGATGCGATGGACTGGAAGAAGGGGTCTGCATTCGAAGATGTGTTCGAGGCGGCGCGGCTGCGAGAGTCACTGGTTGATGGACGTGGATGGTTGGCCAAGGCACTCATGCCATCGGATGAATAACTATCGGCGATGGTGCTGAGCAGCGTAGATGACTGCGAGTTGAAGCTACCTAAGCCAGCATCGAGCGAGGCTGCAGTGCCAGGACGGCCTCCAGCGCCGGTACTCTTAGTTGTGACGCTGAGCGTTGGGAATCCGGAGTTGATAGAGTCTAGGCTGAGACGGGAGAAGGTTGCTTTGAGGGCATCATAGCGATTCATGATGATGCAGTCACGGAAGGCAATCAAGACTAGACTTCGCACATCAAGCGTGCCACCAACAGGCAGTGCACCCCAGAATTCACCGGCTTCTCGGCTAGTCATCAACGATCCACAGCCCTTGAACTCAAGATCCAAGGGGAGAAACACAGCCTGGATGAAGGGCAGGATCGTGCCCAACACCAGCAGCCACACTTGAACCAGATGCGGGACCAGCTTTTCATCTGGGAGGCCAGCCAGTGAGCTGTGATTCAAAGTCGCAAACCCAGTGTGTAGGAGTTCTTGCAGGTCTATTACAATAGACGCAGGGGCTCTCTTGAGGACACAACGCTGCAGATGAACAAGCACCAGCTTGTTGAGATCTTCAATAGCAATGCGCACATCCTCACCATCGAAGATGACCAGCAGCTTCGCCTTAAGGAAGTCCCACGCATCCTCGGGGGTCATATTATTCAACCCAAACCCTTGCAAGGTCTCCCGGAGGATAGACTCGGGGAATGTCCCCGAACTGCCAACCGAAGACGGGCCTGGGAAACCACCGGGTGTCGTGGGCGCGCCAGCATTATTAGCCAGCCATTCCAACTGCTCCGACTCAGCGAGCGCCTTCTCCTCCTTTTTCTTCTCCCGCAGTGCTCGACCGCCATGTAGGAGATCCAACCCACTGACCGACTTGCCAAATGTCGCTCCAGGAGCTGGAGACGCAGGTGTAAAGGAGTATAAAGATTGTGGGGCATTTGGGTCTGCCGGACGAGAATTACTCGAAGCCGATGATAGAGGGAGGTTGAAGTGGTCTTCGACACGGTCTTTTAATTTGAGTTTTTGCCTCGACAGGAAATGATGCTTGTGCTTGTCCTTATCCTTGTCCTTTTCCTTCTCTGGAAGCGGCGGACGATCTGCGGGGACGACTGTGCTCACAGAGGCATTCGACAGATTGTACATCGACGAGTTGTTTGAGGATAAATCGGTCAGGTTTGTAGTCGAGCCGCTGACCATGCGCGATAACCCACTGATCTTGCTCGGGGAGGGAAGAGCACGGTCTTTGCCCAGATCTTTATGACTGCTGATTCCGATATGTTTTGGCTTTGAGAAGAGCTTCTTCTTCTTTTGTTTCTCGGGCTGTATCTCTACCGGTGTAGCACTAGCTCGCGGGAAGACCACATTCGCAGCTGTCGTAGCCACGTTCCCTGATGGTAGAGGCGGTTGGGGGGAGGGTTGATTGACACGCAACGGGGGAGGCATGAGAGGAGGCGAGTCGCTTCCACTGCGCCTAGGACGAGGGCCATCCTCTATCGGGGTCATAGCACCTTGTTGCCTTTTCGTCTGCTGCATGGCTGCTTGGGCGGCGATACGGGAGGCTGACACGGTAGGGACCTGGTCGGAGGTTGTCGGCAGGGATGGCTCAAAGAAGCCCTGTGAGTGATGCCGTGATCGGTGCCGGGGTAACTCGATAGAGGGACCCCGGACGGAGGGCTTTCGCCCTGTTGGGTTCGGCATAGGGTGATGAGGTGAAGTGGCGGAGCGTGGTTGTGGAGGGAAGTAACTCCCCGGGGGAAGTTGAGTATTGATCGGAGTGATAGGAGCGGCGGAAACGGTGGTCACATTAGAAGAGGCGTCACTACCGGAGGATCCGGGGCGAACCAATTCGTCTTCATCGGAGTCGTCGTCTTCGTCATCAGACGGAGGTCGGGGGTATCGAGGGGCAGGAGGTACTCGCTGACGCCCAGGCGAGTTGGGGGATCGGAAGGTAGAATTCATAACGAACAATCCATGCTCTCTCTTTTAAGCGAGGTATCTTTTAGGCACGAAGTTTTTTTTTTCCTTACAACGTTACCAAAGCCACAGGCAAGTCGCCGATCCCTTCCTCTGTAACCTCTATCTGGCAGAATCTCAGATCTACAATGCGGAGACTTGGTGATCACAGAGTTTATAGCTCTGCGATTTATATAGATCATTTTACTACTTTATGTCGTTCGCAGTAGTCTATCTGGCATGTTTTTTTTTTCCTCCTTTCCTTTCCATCATTTCCACAACTTTTTATTACATTCAGCCCTGGGGGAGGGGGGGGGGCCTTCAGACTAGGTCATCCCGTCCTAGAACCCAACAGAGATTAGCCTCGGAAATGCTACCGTATGATCCAGGTACATCCAGTAATATATAAACCCGTCCATATTCAGCCATGGAGAGTCCTGGGGAAGAGCCAAGTCCCGAGGTCGGGGCTCAGATCAGAGGCGGTAAGAAAGGCGGTAAGTTATAACTGGGGACATTATTCTCTGCGATATACCCCCTCCTAGACAATTAATTCCCCCCAATTTCCCCAACTTCCCTGTTAAATTTCAAAATGGCCTCCAACACGAGCCTGAATGCAGTCTACACCGCCCCCCAATCCACTGAGACATTTGAGCATGTGTTCTCGACCACAACTGGCACACTAGCGGCTAAACAGGCCCACCTCTCAGAGCTGCAGTTGCTCGTGCCCAAGCTGCAGGACCAGATCAACGCATTCCTTACGGAGCGCATGGAAGAGGACAAGAAGGTGCAGGGAAAGCTCTCGGCACAGGAAGCTAAGGAGGAGGAGAATTATGGAGAGGAAGTGGTTGAGGACGATGCATGATCACATGACCAGGATGTATCTTGAAATGGGCAGATGCTATGGGTATCAAAGTCGCTGGGATAGCCTCCGTCGACACAAAAAAACCAAATGAAAGAGAAGCTAGAGCCGGAAAACGAAAAAAAAAGGAGGAAAATAAAGGACATGAACAAGAACAAGAACGACCCCGCGAATGCAGATGCAGGAGAGTATGCACACTATCCAGCTCGAACACTGGATCTTCGATTGGCACACCCCAAATGAACCACCGTATCACTGAAAAGAAGTCAGCGATGAACAGACCAAAAAGACAAACGACCGGAAATGACTTACTCGGGGAAAACATTGATCACACTCCCACCCAAACGCTTATGGCAGACGCCACAAATTCGCTCCTCGGTGACAGTGACGTGGCGAGCCCGCGTGCCTCCACCACGAATTCCCTCGCCAAGAGCGAGCTGGGCTTGGATCTGCATATCCCGTGCCTTGCGCAGGTTTGCCACGATGCGCGCTTCATTGAAAACAGAGTTTGCGGCGCGCATGCGACCCTTGAAATAGAATTCAAGTTTCTGCACGGCCTGTTTGTCCGGTATGAGTTTCAATGCAGCGTCGGCTGGGAGGCGTGAGCCGTGCTTGGCTAGCAGTTCAATCGCGGGGTCGTTTTGGGGCTCATAGCCGTGGGGTGGGGAGAGATAGAGGGAAAGGAGGGTGAGGTAGATGGAATTCTCTTCTTCGGCCTTTTCGGCGAGGTGGACCTGGTTACAGTATCTTTCTGGGGTTAGCAATTGCTGTTTTGGGGAAATGATATATCACTCACTCCTCCGCTTTCTCGTGGTCCGCAAGTTTGAAAACGTAGATCTCGAGCGCCTGTCGGTGCTGACCCATCTTGCTAAATAGGATAGCTCGGGCTTCGTAGAAATTGGGATCTGGGATATGTCAGTGGTGGCTTGTCACAGGAATAGGGCGCAACGTACCCTCTCGATCAAGCCGATCTAACATCTTCGCTGGCGAGTATTGCTCGCTGTCTTTCAACATCGTTAAGAACTTGTCCTTCCATTCCCCTTGCTCGTTGTTGGATGTAAGTTGATCTAGATATAAGATAAGCAGCCGCTGATGTATGTCCGGGGTCATGTCGTTCCATTCATTAATGACATGCTCGAGGTATTGAATGGCAAGCGTGGTGTCTATTTTCTCAAGGAATCCGAGGACTTGTGAACGGGGTAATGTCTCGGCATTTT